TTCCAGGTAGTTTGGATACTGCATCCTTATTAGGTCCAATTATGTACGGAGAGACTCAAAGCTCTAGCCCTGACCTACACTAGCAGTCGTATACCCCCCCTCCTCGTCAATAATTCCTCTCACTCTAGCTTTGGTCTCAGTTATTCCAGGAGCGGCCTTTGTAGGAACAATGACTTTGGCAGCAGGAGCTTGGGCAATAGATGGCGCCATATTTATTCTACTGAGATGCTGGTAGATTTTGTTATCAGATTTGAAAAATTTGGTACCCAGGATTTGTGCGCAGTCACCGTTTAAATATACCCTTGAATAGAGCTCACGGGAAGGGATCGAAGGGGACCGGCGCACTTCTCGCTACATATAAAAGTGGTATAACTACTAGAATCATTCAATCCAGCAGGCTGCTGACTCTTTGCCTGGATTTTTGGTCCTCTACTCTTCAATATAGACTACTGGACGTCTTCAACAGGGTGCATCAAGCTTTTTCATAATGTCTCGCTTACGCTGTGAGGTGGAATTATCAGGTAGCTCGGAAATCTGTGTGGTCACGACAGTTGCGTCTAATTTCCTTGATAGCGAATATGAATTGCCAAAAAATTTTTGAGGGAAAGGATGCATCTGATACCACAGTTTGAAGTCTGTCGGCTACGAGGCGTGCGTTTTTTTGCCTTTGCGGAAAATGACATAGGATCTCGTTAACCGTGTAGACCGAAGGGAGAAAATTCCATCAAATGCATTTAAAGCACTTGGAATCCTTGGCATCACATTCAGAGGGACATTGAGGAAAGTGACTTCCACGGTTGATCTCGGGAAGGAGTTTGTGGCCCCTAACAGATATTCTATAGGCCACTACAGAGATAAACAGACATTCTGTTTGGCATTATGATCTTTCAGCCTAGCTGTTAAATGCTCTTAAGTAAATAGTCATGAGTAGCAGCCAGATTAGCCTACTGGATTTTATTTTCACCCTTTTTTAAGACAAAGAATCCATCCAAATTTCTATCAATGCTATTAAATTTTGAAACGAAATCTTCTCTACCAGGACCAGAAACTTTCAATTAAAAGCCAGTTTGATAGTTGTTAAAAATAGAACGATAGTCAGTCCGTCCTTTGCTTGCTCCGCCAGTCTAGACTTGTCTTCTTTCTCGACCTTTCTTTCTCTGATCCTATGCTGGCTCCTAGGTTCTTTTGTTCTTTTGTTCTTTTGTTCTTTGATGTAGGGAGAGCATCTCACAGTTTAGCATCAAAGCTTTGCTGAAATTTGTTTTAGTTTCTCGACAATAAAGAAAGTGGTTTAAAAAGGCAAAGAGAAAAACGTACAGTTATAATAAATCCAGCCTTGTGGCTTACAGCTAATTCATCCAACTATATCTTCTTTGTTTTTGCTATACCGTGTCTTGGGATCCTTGAGCTAGAACTCACTCGATGTCAAATTATCTTTTCTCTCAGTGTCTACGAGGCTTTCTTTATTTTCACAATTAGCTTAGTTCTATTCCTTCATACATATGTGACGCCCTACTCGCTTTTGCGTTCATGTCGAGGCATTTTGAATTCACAAGGCTTTAACATCTAAGGCGTATCATCTTCAACATGTCAGCTCGATACAACTTTCGACGTAGTACTCGCATTCAGCAATTATCACACCAATACTCTAAGGGCTCACCAACAGATCCAACCCCACGCAGAAAGCTCTAGATAGAGGACGTAGACCTTGAAAAATCCTACGTTGACACTTGGATGCCACCTAAACCACAACCAAGGCCAATTAAAAGCAGACCATGGGCCAAACGGACAGGAAGTGAGCCCCTTACCGACCCAGCTCAACTTCCCCGCGGCTGGCATATGAATGAGGATGATCTTAGAATTGAGTGAGACGAGATTGAATCCAAATTTTTGTGCAACGAAAATGCTAAATAGAATTTAACAGTGACCTCGACGGCCATATCGAAAGATGCTACGAGAGAATTGCTGAAAACATCATGCCTCAGGTTTTTGAGCAAAGATTGAAGAATTACACAGCTGCAAAGCTCAAACTTGAGTAAGTCAGCTATGTTGATACTGCTTCTACGTCGGTTCTAACCTTGTGATACTGTAGCCAGATGAGGTTCCCCGGGTCTGAAGAGCTCAGCTGGGATGCAATTCAACGGGTGCATTCATTAGATGCCATAAAGGCAGATCTGGTGTGTTATACCGATGAACGCGAGCAGCTTCCAAATGTTGAGGCTCTTTTGGAAGCATACAAGTCGGGCAAGCTTGATTGGAAGGCTGGTCTTGTTACTTATTGGTCGAAGGGAGTCCAGATTTCCCAACCAAGAAGATTTGACTGGGATGAATTTGAAGCGATCAATTCCCACTATGAGGGTTACAAAAGCTTTTGGACAGAAGGGGTAATGAATTTCCTCGGAATTTCTAAAGCGATTCACTAATTGTTGTCAGATCTGTGGCCCTGAAAATGAGGGCTTGTACTCACTGGTCACATTATTTCCAGAGCCACTCAACAGAAGGCTAACTAGCGTAAGATCTACACTGATGACTCAACCTTCTTCTAAGGTTTTCTCACTATTTCGTCTAGTTGTCTTTAGCACTCCGTCTTCCAGGACTGGCATGGTTTGCCGAGTTGGACTTTATCAACGATACTGGGTGCAGTACGATGACCATCTATCAAGGAGATCTTAAAATGCTTCTTGGGCCTTTTGGGACAGCTGTTGGGCCTAGAGTACCGGTCGTCAGCATGATAACGTCTAGCACTGCTAGTGGCAACATAATCATGGAAGAGATTGAACTTGAAGTCACGATCCTCGATGGAAACCGTGAAAGAATGACCCCTTGGACTAGAAGCCTATGCCACCTTTTCCCAGGAGACTGGTCACCCAATGGTGTCCCCCGACTAGATGGCCCATTTTTGAAAAATTTGTTATTCGTGGCCAGCGTGCCTGATCACTCCAGTCGTTTATATGCCTCAACCACCAGCCATGAACTTCCCATCCCAAACCTGAACCTTGCTACAAACCCGGGACATCATCCTGCAATTGTGCAAACCCCTTTGACACCAGGAACATCTGTCCCTCCACGGGGTGGTTGGTTAGCCGCAGTGGGAGGGAAAATGGGGTTCCCGCCACCAGCAGCTGGAGTTCCTTGAGGGACCTAAAAACCTGACATTCCTTTGCCGGAATGTTGTTTGCGCTGGAAGGACCTCCTCATCTTTGATCACTTTGTTGTTCTGTTGTGCTGCTTGGCGTGTGTCGCTCTTTTGATTCAGTCCGTGGTTTTCGTTGAGTCTTTGCTTTTGTTACATTTGTGCTAAATCTGTGAAAACGAACAGAAATTAATGAAATAATATTTGCATGCATCAATGTGATTCTTATGTTGGTTGATTTCTTATCTAGCCCTAGAGGACTGGTTTGTCTCTGTCATCAAGTTGTTTCTCATTGGCGGTGTTTTTATCACGGGCTGTGGCACAATTGGGGGTTCAGCCCCCTTGAATGCCCTCTCACTGGTCCCTTGGCTTCGCCCCTCTGGTCATGCGTCTGACCTCATGTGGCGGAACAGCAATAGCCACTACTGGAAAGACACACACTATCACATAAGGTTGTCTACCTGATGCACTGGGAAACGATCCTTTTCGGAATCTTCTACCTTGATGGTGCGACCTACGGTGTTATGGTTCACACCATCGATGCCAACGCAACAGGAATGATTGATAAGTTTGAGTCTACCCACAGCAGCGTAGAACTTGTGACTGACTCTTATAAACTAGGCTCCTGCTTCAGCTGCTTCAAAAACTCAAACACATTATAAGCAGGGGGTTTTGGGGAAATACTCTTTGTTTGGTCAAAACGTTTAGGGATTGACTCCGGGCTAGAGTAGTGGTAAACGGCGGTATTAATGAACTTCTGTAATGGGGGCTCGGGTGATCATAAAATAATGAGTTGTTACAGAACGGTATGAAATTCAGTATTTTCAAAGGACTGATTCACAACTGACAACAGACCTTGGAACGGCAGTCTCCCGCGAAGGTTCCGCCCCACTTGCCTGGTCCCCGTGTGGCTCGCGGACGGACTTCCGCGTCTTCGGGAGCCCCGCTCTAACTTTATTTAGCCTAGCTTTGCCGATCAAAATCTTGGTTCCTTTCTGCTTTTAATTTTTTTTTGGTCGGTCGAAAGGTTGTTGTACAATAGTCCGAGGTCCTGCTTCTACTTTCATGGCACATACCATTATCTCGGTGCTCTAGACTCTATCTGAGACTGGACAGAATCTCAGGTGTCTGGCATCCCGTGCGGATCCACCAGCGTCGGTCCACAAGCTTGAAGTTTGCGACCTCGTGGCATCGAATGTGGGGACTGAGATTCGCGTCATGCACAATGTCTTATCACAGCTGTTGACCGCTTCCAATCTTGAGTATCTCGCGATAAGACTTGCTTCATCCGGAATCGTGCGACGCTGAGGCGAAGATCACCGATTTGTCGCCAGGTGGCAACCCATCGAGTACCAGGTTTCGACGACCAGTACTCAAATGGTCATATGCTTCTGGACAACAAAATCAGCACATCCGAACAGGATCTTGAGAGAGGCAGAAACTAAAGATTGTCGCCAGTTCAACGGTATTTGGGCTGCGTGAATTTGTAGGTCATCACCAACGAATATTGGAGGCAGCCCAACGTCGTACAACGATATCTTCATTAATCGGGACAGACACGACCATATCAGAAGGATGCACTACCAGTGCAATGTTTTCGTTTCCAGGGTTAGTTTAAGAAGCGGCATTTTGTACAAGCTGAATCTGCCGCCCATCAGGGTCGTCTCTATGTGAACGACCATCTGCTCGCTGAGGACATCGGCAATTACACACACCTTTCGAAGCCGATATCACCGAGTTTGTCGCCACTAGATAGAAGCTTTGCCTCCCAATTCGTGTCAAGAGTGAGCTTACCCTTGAGACAAAGCCCACCTCGAAAGATCGAGATTACAGAGGTCGACGCCTACAGCGGAGCCACCAGTGTGCGCACTGTCAAAGTTTCTCATCAACGGCAATCCCTTTCACTTAACCGGACTCAGAAGACAAGAAGACACCGCGGTTCGTGGCAAAGAGTATGACCAAGCCTACATGGTTCCCGATTTCCAGTGATAGACTGGATCGGCGCCACCTCTTTCCGCACCTCAGACTAACATCACGCTAAAGAGACAAATGGACATCTCAGGCCGGCAGGTAAACTTGATCTGCTGTAGATAGTTGTTCGGCTTAGTTCTTCTTGAGATTTGTGACTTTCCAAACGCCCAACTCGACAGGTATATGGATAGGTTTATGTGCGATTCTCAATTGCAATCAATCCACATTAATTAAATTCCACCTATCCACCTCCTATCGCTTCCAGATGTTCTTACATGGTCTGTGACCAGAATCTAATGCAAGGAATGATGAGACCTACATCTAAATTTCTGTGAAAGAAACAAAATTGGTTGGCATCATATTCACAAATCTCCAACAGGAAGTAAAGTTCCTTCGTCAAGAGAGCCCCATTCGTGCCGAAAACCCAAAATGCCGACACCTTTACAGTAGCTATATCCCTAAACATACACGTGGATTTAATAAAACACTGATCGTAGTTAAATTCACGCCGAATTACCCTCAGCCGAATCTCGAGACTGAGAGACTGAAAGCGATCGCTTATCGTCGCTGCCCTTGGTACGCCCAATGCCAACCATCTGCAACATTTCTCTCCAGAAGCCAGTAGGGGGTTCAAGGAAGCTATCCTCGTAGGCGTCGATCAGGGGTCGTTCCCAGACCAGGTCGGCTTCATGAGCCTTAACGAACTTGGTTTTCTTGATGATTTTCCAGATGAGGAAAAGAGGAGGGATGACAATCTGCATGGTGTAGTTGGACCAGAAGGTGGACACTGACCAAGGCTTGTATGAAGTGTAGCCGTACACGATTGTCACAACGATCATCCAAACAAATGCAATATATGCGCAGTAGGGTTGAAGATATCCAAAATAGGACAACGATCTGCGGTCAAACCCTTGCGCTTTGCAAGCGCGGTGGAAGAAAATGTACGTCAGGCTGATAACGATGTAATTAATGAGCCCTGGGGTATGTTGTCAGTGTGGTAATGGGGCCTAGTGGTAAATTCGATGATTCCTCACCTCCGGCAGTGACAAGGTTGGCGAACCATGTGATGACGACGGATGAGCTACTGGAGCATTGCAAAAAGGAAAGCATAGGGAAGATCATCACGACTGCGAAGCAATAGATCGGCACCCCGTTGCGCGTGGTTCGAGTGAGAACTCTTGGGGCTCTTCCTTCTAGTGCCAAGCCGTACAGAGTACGGATAGCGCAGTAAGTGTAGGTGTTGCCAGCCGAGAAAATCGAAGTCAGCAGAAGACTTAAAAAGAAGAATGGTCAGTCTTTGGTCCTTCAAGGATGCACGTTTCGTTTTGATAGCACTGACGCATTAATGATCGAAGGGAAAATTGAAATGCCCAAGTTTCGCATGCCAATGACATATGGCGATGCCGAAGCGGAACCAGAAGAACCACTCGTCACAACCGCCACCAGCTGGGGATCATTAGCGGCACAGACGATACCCACAGCCAAGGCGCCGCCGATAAAAAAGAGACAGAATCGAATGTAGACTGTCTTGAACGCATTCTTGATATAAATGCGGGGACGCTTTGCTTCAGCGGCAACAATGGAGATGTACTCAGGGCCGACGACGGCAAAGCAAGCCGACCAAAGAGATCCAAGGAATCCTTCAAAGCGACCAAGCGCTCCGGTATCCAGATACTCCATGAAAGACCCGGGATTGTTCCAATGGCGGAAGCCATAGGCGTCATGGGCCGGGTTTCCACCAACCATGGTGATGAAGGTGAAAAAGAACAGGGAGAAGATCAGAATGACCTTTCCACCCGACAGCCAGAATTCAGCTTCACCATAAGCTTTGACGGCTAAGACGTTAAGGAAGCTAGGCAAGAATCAGTATTTGGATAAACCTTCAAGGACACACAAATAACCGAGATGGGCAGAAGAAGCTCTCACCCATAGACCAGGATGACACCAAGGCAGATACCTGCAACTGGCCCAGGTTCAGTAACCTTCTCACTCCAGAAAGACAAGACAAGTGTGAAAGCCGAGATCTCAAAAGGAATCAAAAGGGCCTCATAGAAGCTAAAAGGAGTGTTAGCAAAGATAGCGGGCAGGATTTCGGTGACCCCGAAAAGAACACGGACAAAAAGTTCCAGCCGACCATGAAACCAAGAGCGTCGTCGACCCATTTTCCAGCCAAGCGAATGAAACCACCACTGACAGGGAAGGCAGTGGTCATTTCAGCAAGGCAGTTATTCACCATGGCCAGGAAGATACATTGAACGGTAAAGGCAATAAACAAACTGCCAGGTCCCCCATGATGAAGACCCGAGCCGATGCTCACGAACAAGGCCGTTCCGATGGAACCGCCAATGGCGATCAGCTGGATCTGCCGATTGCCAAGATGACGTTGAAGGTTGTCGGCATTTTCAGCCATCACACCTTCTTGTACATCACGAGGGCCCTCGTTTTTGAGCCCGAGTGTTTCCAATACACTACCGCTCGTTTCTTTGTCCATGTCGCTTAGGATAGCCATTGTGTTTGCATTCCTGTCTGTCGTATTTAGTGGGTTATACAGTATGGGTGATGGTGTGTTCGAACGACACTGGAAGGGCTAATGTCGCTTATCCGTTTGAGATTCTGGAATTGGGGTATTGGAAATGTTGGGGTGGATCGGCGGAAAATCCGGGGGTGGATCTGCTACAAAAGATTGGGATGCCGGGCTATATTGCGAGGGTCTGGGATTCGATCGCGTGGGCAATGATCTTGTTGCTTTGGATGTTGAAAAGTTGACGGTGCAATGGCAAGAGCAAATGTTCAAAGACGCTGAGGTCTCTAGAGTGGAATTTCCGTCCAGTACAAAGGTTCACGGAGAAACCGAACGTTCAGAAGGTGAAGTGTAAAAAAAAGAAAAATCAAAAATCAAAAGGAGTATTCAGCTAAAGAGATATACGAACGTCTATTAAAGAAAGGTCGAGTGAAACGTGGAAGTAAAGCTGAGATCTTAAAAGGGCAGAGATTTGCCTCCGCCAGATTAGCACCACAGCCATACCAAGGAATTATGACGCAGTTCAGTTGGTTACTTTCGGTGACTTTAGGTCACTTTGGGTCACTTTGGGTCACTTTGGGTCATCTTCTCGACCTTTAGTCATCTTGATTGGCTTGGGGTACATTTTATCGCCCCCGCACGGGCTGTGACTTAACCCGCATCCGGATACGCCCCGTGGATGTTCTACTGTTTATCTTTGGTTTCAACCGGGGATCATCCTCCCTAAACAGTCTAACGCGGGTTGTGCCTCCTATCTCAGTTAATTCGTCTTCGAGGTCTCAGTGTGCACGTTCCCCTCGGCTATCCCATTTCAGCGGTGGCTCAATTGATCTGATTTTGCACTGCCCAACGTATCTATGGAGTAATCGGTAGGTATAGTTTAGACTTCCCAGTTTTGATCCAATGGCCTTATCTGGTGTGTTCGATGGCTCTTTCCAGCTTCGAAACCCGACGGCCAGTGTGTAGGTTACGTAACCTTTGGAGATAACCGTGGTCCTGATAAGTGCCAACAAGTAAGGGCCCTGGGGGGAAATAAATTGATTCTGCCTAATAGCCCCCCCTGCCCCCCCCCCCGAAACTCCGTAATCTAATCTATCGAATTGGCATGTCACACTGGGATGCATCTGCCAAGGCACGGTTCGATCACCATCTGATTGGTCGACCCGTCCGACCTGCGTCTCCCTGTAGGAATAGCAATTCTACTTCGCACCTCATGGCCATCTTCTCCGGGTGTATCATGCCACAAGACTTTTTGGTTTCAGGGTTCGAAGAACGTTGCCGTGCTCAAAGAGTACTTCCAAGGGTCGAGAAATACTTAGGTCTACCAAAGATAAGATCTCTCTCCTCACATCAGACCATCGATACGTATTGCTCTTTGGTGTAGCAAGCGTAGGTCGTTCTCTCTTTCTGTCGTTTGGTCGATGTTAATTTTCCGGTCTTTCTTTTGGAAGAAAAAAAAATAGAGGGGGTGGGAAGTGCTTCCTGATGTTGTCCCCGAATGAGAAACTGGGATCCATTGCGTGCCGGGACATAGACCTAGAACTCACGACCCTGATCAATGAGTTGAGAGTCCTGATTACCAAGGCCTGCCACAAAGGTAGGGTACATCGGTAAAGGAATGATGCATCCCACTGCAATTGTTTAGTAGCACAAATCTCGAGTCATAAGTTGAAACCCACCAAACTCGTCCGTTGCTGTGCTAGTCTAGTATGGTGGACGTGCGGTCTCTCCAGAAAAAGATGGGGGATTAACCTACATGTCACGTGCCCTGTAAATTCCGGGGTTGCTTTGAAATCCCTTTGCCACAACAGGCCGAGCCCCAGAGCATATCACGTGATACCGCTCCATGTTAACTCCCGAGGTCGGGGACTGGGAAGAGTTTGCTTAGAGTTGACTCACCAATGTCTCCGTGTTCGATGTTGTTGAAGCGCGTGGCTAGGCCTCCGGCCGCCATTATGTGCAGACCGGTGAGTACAGCTTCGTCTCATGATCACCCAATTGTTTCTGACTTCCCCAGGGTCGGCCTCGGTGGACTCCGACCTTCGGCGTCCCAAGCAGGACAATTCATCATCCCTTGCGATCGGTCTCGAAATCCCTATCTTCTCGCTCGCTGAGTACGACAGCCTCCGCTCAGATCGAAGGCTTTCACTCACAGCATGAGAACGCCTCCACAATTCCTTTATATGAGAATCTCTCCCAGAGGCGCACGCCGCAAACCTTGACGGAGAAGATCGTACAACGCTATGCTGTTGGTCTCCCCGAAGGAAAGCTCGTTCGTAGCGGTGACTATATCAGTCTGGCCCCCGGGTATTGCATGACTCACGACAACTCATGGCCCGTCGCCCTCAAGTTCATGTCAATGGGAGCTACAAAGGTCCACCGCCCCGAGCAGATTGTCATGACCCTCGACCACGACGTCCAAAACACCAGCGCAGCGAATCTTAAGAAATACGAGCAGATCGAGGCTTTCGCTGGACAGCATGGTATCGATTTCTATCCTGCGGGTCGGGGTATTGGACACCAGGTTATGGTGGAAGAGGGATATGCATGGCCGGGTACCATGGCGGTAGCCTCAGACAGCCACAGTAACCACTACGGCGGAGTTGGCTGCCTTGGAACTGCTGTTGTGCGAACGGATGCTGCTAGTATTTGGGCAACGTCGCGGACATGGTGGCAGATTCCCCCTGTTGCGCGGGTAACATTCACCGGAACACTACCAGTAGGCGTGACAGGTAAGGATGTGATTGTGGCATTGTGTGGGCTCTTCAACAGTGACGTGCTGAACCATGCAATTGAGTTCACCGGCTCTGAGGAGACCATGGAAAGTCTGCTTGTGGATAGCCGCCTGACAATTGCCAACATGACGACTGAATGGGGCGCGCTCACGGGTCTCTTCCCAATCGACCGGACTCTGAAGCGCTGGCTGCGATACAAGGCCACCGAAGCTGCGATGTCTGACGACCGGACAACCCGGAAGCGTATCACGCACGAAAGAATCGACGAGCTGTTCGCCAACCCCCTCACGGCCGACCCCGATGCTCAGTATGCCAAGCAGCTCTACCTCAATCTCTCGACTCTCTCGCCCTACGTCTCCGGTCCTAATTCAGTCAAGATCGCAACACCACTCAACGAGCTTGTCCAGCAGGACATCAAAGTCAACCGCGCGTACATCGTCTCTTGTACCAACTCGCGTGCTTCCGATCTCGCGGCCGCCGCCAAGGTCTTCAAAGACGCCGCCAAGGCTAACCCCGACACGACTCCTAAAATCGCCGACGGTGTCAAACTTTACATCGCGGCTGCTTCCGTGCCCGAACAAGAGGCTGCCGAATTCACTGGCGACTGGCAGGCACTCCTCGATGCTGGTGCCCAGCCCCTACCTGCTGGATGCGGACCTTGCATTGGCCTCGGAACTGGTCTTCTAGAGCTCGGTGAGGTTGGCATCAGTGCCAGCAACCGTAACTTCAAGGGAAGAATGGGTTCGAGAGATGCGCTGGCATACCTGGCGAGTCCCGAAGTCGTGGCTGCTAGTGCTCTCAGCGGCGTTATCTCTGGCCCCGGCGCCTACCAAGTGCCAGAGAACTGGTCTGGCGTGGAACACGGATTCGGCACAGGTCTCGAACCCACCACCGAGAACGAGCTCACCAACCTGTTACAACAGATGGAATCTCTGATCGATCGGGTTGAGTCGGCCGGAGACGAGTCCAAACCTGCCACCGAGATTCTGCCAGGCTTCCCCGAACGGATCAGCGGCGAGATCGTCTTCCTTGATGCTGACAATCTCGACACTGATAGCATCTACCCCGGTAAATTGACATACCAAGACAACGTCTCGAAGGATGATATGGCCGCCGCTTGCATGCAGAACTACGATCCCGAGTTCAAGAGCATCGCTAAGCCAAGTGACATCCTCGTCGCCGGCTTCAACTTCGGTTGCGGATCATCAAGAGAACAGGCCGCAACTGCCATTTTGGCCAAGCAGATTCCACTGGTCGTTGCTGGCAGCTTCGGGAACATTTTCTCCCGAAACAGTATCAATAACGCGCTCATGGGCCTTGAAGTCCCCCGACTTGTTGAGCGCCTCCGTGCCAGCTTCGCTCAGCCATCTTCTGGTGACGCCAAGGGGCGCCAGCTGACGCGTCGCACAGGCTGGACTTTGACATGGGACGTGAAGCGTTCCATTGTTGAAGTTCAGGAGGGTGAGACGGGAGAGAGCTGGACCGAGCAGGTCGGCGAGCTGCCAGCGAATGTACAGGAGATCATCGCGGAAGGTGGCCTAGAAGCGTGGGTTAAGGGTAAAGTTGCGGAGTCCGGGTGAGGACACCTCAACCAGGCTAAACAAATGCCATTGGACAACGCCGGCCCAATGAACATGATGATCGGTTCGCGTTGCAGGTAGCCACTGCCACACTTTTGGCCGTTGTTTGTTTTTGCATGTTTACTTTGTGTACAATTTTTTCATCAATATCAGGTACCATAGAGAAGGCGTTCTGACTGTTCATCAAGAGCATGTCTTTAAAAACGAATAAGAATATACCAAAAACTTTCATCAGAGATACTCGTTCTTTTCTTCCTCATCATTTGCCGATATCAAGCAAAGCTCAAAACGATGTTGTGCTCTCCTACCTGCGGCGGTGGGTGCACGATAGTGTTGAAAACGAGGATCCAAAAGACGCCCGTCACCACCCCGTTCTAAGATGACGCCCTCTGGGTGCAAAGTGCGCTGTGTAGGTAGTGTTATTCAACCCATGCGGAGAACGTGAGCACAGACGGTTTCAAGCAGTTTCAAGCTTGGTATCTTCGCTGTCTCATTCCACGAGAACTCCCCACATACAAATGGCCCCTGCTTTACTTTGGACCAAGTCATTGATGAGGGGATCCGGGCGAAAAATATCCGAAGCTCGCTAACTACTCGCGGGTTGACACGTGGGTAGCTGTCGAAAATTTGTGAATTTGAACCCGCTTTCAAGCCACACATTCTTAGCTAAATCTCGCTTCTTGCGTTCTTTCGGGGTGTGGGTGACGTACAAAGTCAAGTAATACACATTGAACAGAGCCCAGGATTGGACATTAGCTGTGAGTGTGGGGAATCCCAGCTTTCCAAGCTTGTGGCTCCGCCCCCTCACGGATTTCCCGGGTATGCTTCAGTGCAACTTTCCAGGAGAATCAGTGATCTATGCAAGAGAGTCATATCTGGCACCAGTGGAATTGTACTATTGGATCAATCCGGGGAATTCGCACTCTGCTCCATTCCTTGCAGACCCGGTGTGAGGCCATTCAAAGAAAGCATGGATTAAGAACAGCTTCCTAGTATAGAAATCCACGGCAAAGCCTTGCTATTCAGCAAAATCGGCGGCTGTGCATTTCTTTTCCTCCCTGCATGTCATCTCGTGCATCCCAAACTGTTGAGGACAAAACCATGAAAGAGAAGAACCCTATCACCGAGCACGTGAACCTGCCTTGATTGTAACGACTAGCCAAAGTTGTCGCAGTAAGGTCCCGAGCTCCGCCTCTTTCTTGCCTAAATGGGCTTAGTCTCCGCCTGTTCCACGCAGACGGGACTGAAGCGAATCTTGCCACTGTCGGAGAAACCCCGGTGTCGTGGAGGTGTTGTTGCAGAGCTGTGATAAAATTGGAATAGGGGACCGATACCAAAGGATATTCGATAGAGGATAGTTGTGAGACTATTATCAACTCCAATAGAAATGTGTTATGAACAGCCCAAATACCGCCTGCCCATCGGAGACGACACTTGCAACCCATGAAACCCATGGAAAGCTTCCCCCTGATCCATGGATACACAGTTGAACCCCGCATTGGCTGTTCCAAGATTCTGGCCCCTGCATGTCGGGGGCCTAAAAACCCCGCTCTCAGGCTCTGCGACTAGACCCTTTCATTCCCCACACATCCAAGGATCCTTTATCTTTTGCAGAATTTCACTTCTTTCATGTGGCACATCAAACTTTACCCCGCATCTGATTATTCGATCTATTATTGACATCACTTGTCATGTTTATTGCGTTCAAAGCCCAGAACGGCGAAGAGGGGTTGCGTAACCCAAAACATAAACGGCGGAGTGAACGACTCAGCCGACGAGGATCTACACCGCGAGCCTGTACTTCGTGTCGCCATCGCAAAATTAAATGCGATGGCGAGAAGCCCTGTGAAGCTTGTCGATGGTACAAGAAGCCTGGGCTATGTAACTATACGGGACCTCGCTCATCGCCTAGGTAAAGCTGAAAGCTGAAAATCGAACCCAGGGGGGTTGTTGACGAAACTGATCAAATTAGCCAGCCAGAAAAATCGACAATAACCTCACCCGACTACAAAAGCACACTCGAACGGCTGTTTCCTGACACTGCTCCCGAGAACATCGCCAATTTTTCAAGGGATAAGTTGTTAGAATTGATGGCTGCAGGCGGATCCCAATCCCAACATTCTCAGCCTCAAGACTCATCGATTGTTGCCTCGTCCCTAAACACCCACGACTCTGCATTATCGGGAGAGATGCCTGGTTTGGAGTCACTACATACAATACCCGGAGAGCAACTCGATGAAATCCACAGTGCTAGTGCCTCGGAATCAGTTGGGCATATCTCGGACGACGTCAACGCATTATCCCTGTCGGCTCGGCACCCAACCTCGTACCTAGGTGTTTCATCCATTCAGGCTGCACTGAAGGTCATCGCGTGGCTCCATCCAGCAGCAAACTCATACTTCGCTCAATCCTTGTGTAAAGACCAAGATCCACAGCCAACTAGCTCACTACCCCTGTCGCAAGCTGTACCTCTATCCGATACCCCACCCACAGAACATCAAATACTCGATGCGTACTTTGTCAACTTCCAGCATTTTGCGCCACTTATAGACGAAGAATCTTTTCGTACCACCTACTTACTTGGCCGTCGGAAGGATGATCGATGGCTTGCACTTCTCAATATAGTTCTTGCGCTGGGGAGTATTACAGCCGCAGGCGCAGATAACCATGCCCACCGTGTGTATTTTGATCATTCAATGGATCACTTAAATATCCGTTCACTCGGAAATCCCAGCCTTGAAGTTGTTCAGGCCCTAGGACTCATGGGCGGCTGGTATTGTCACTATACTAGCCAGCCGAATCTCGCATACTCCCTTATGGGGGCGTCGCTGCGGATGGCAATTACGTTAGGCCTGCAGCGGGAACCTTCCGATATTCATTCGATACTCGACCCTAAAAAGTCCGGAATCCGGGAATTCAAACGTCGCATCTGGTGGTCACTTTGCTGTTTGGAGACCTGGGGCCATGAAACGCTCGGCCGACCAAGTATGGATTACTTTGGCCCCAGCATCACAGTCAATTTGCCTAGCCGGCTTGATAAGGTGCACATTCCCTGCCCCTTTTCTTTTACTAGTAGCATCCAGGTTCGCTTTCGAAATTGACTCGTGACAGGAATCTTATTTCGAGGTGCTCCCCTTGACAGAAAATGTCCAATTCGTGAAGATTGCGTTAAAAATTCAAGAATCATTGGCTGCGCTACCACCCCTATCCCACACGGAGATGTTCGATCTGGACTCGCAGCTTGTTCGGTGGTGGCATGACCTGCCGCCGGTCCTCAAGGATTACGAACCCTGTCCCGAATCACTATATGCAGTGCGCACTGTGATGCGTTGGCGATTCTACAATCATCGCATGTTACTTTTTCGCCCAACTCTACTGAATTACGCAATGCGACGAATTCCCTTCATGGCTATTCGGGTTGAAGAACGTACTGCTATCCAAAAATGCCAAGAAATTGCAGCAGGTTCAATCCAAGATATCTCCTCAACAACCCAGTTAAATCAGATGATCGGTTGGAACGCTGTTTGGATGTTATTCCAGGCCACTATGGTTCCATTAATTTGTTTGTCCGCTGGCGTCGCAGATCACGATTCCGCTGCTTCATTTGAAGCTTGCAAGACGCAGGTAGAAACTGCCATGTTGACCCTTGGCCGCATGAAGCCTTACGGGCACACCGCAGGACGCTCCCTTGAGGTTATATCGGGCATTCTCGAGTCGAATCTTCATGCTCCCAGGGCATCGCCATTTGATGCAAGTGGAGATGGTCTCGACCCCCAAACTTCCCCTCCTGTGAATGCTTTCAACACAGGCCAACAGGTCGCTCGAGATCGCGTTTCAGATTGGACTGCTACTTCCTTTGAAACACTTTCCTCTCATCACATGTGGGAATATTTGAGTTGGGATCATAGCAATCTCTGGCCTGAGATTTTTGACCTCAATGCTCAGAATGAAGAAGCCGCAATGTCGTTTCTGGATTCCTCTGGAGGAAACACGTGAGATCGCTATCACATTACCTCCGATGTATATAACTACATGTTGCAAATACATGAGACCAAACTGATCTGTAACTTAATGCATTTCTGTGTATGCTGCGCTGCACTCCGTATTTCACAGTAGAATGTTCAAGATGGACTGAGCCTACGAAGAAAACTCTATTCCCTACCTCCCCATTCTTTTCCAATGCATTAAGCTGTAGTCCCAACTTGGTAACAGGGCTATTGAAAGAAGGGACATGTCTCACCAGTCCAGCCCTGCAGGTGAGTAGAGCGCTAATCAAGTCTGGACCCACACATGCATCTAAATATTTTGGTCGGTCCCAATTATTAGTGTGATGTACGTAGATCATTGTCAGATGATCGCTAAAGTGCTAATGGACTCGGTGGGCAATTGCGAAAATAGACCTTGGGTGGTCGACTTCAATCACTCAGAGAGTCCAAGGTCTACATTCACCACAACCCCTCTATAAAGCCCTTGTATTTGCCCGCGGGTATATACCTGAATTTTACACTCAGCCGAATTCGCAGCCCAGTACCCGGTATAGGCGGTGGGCAACGCGTTGGGCCAGGTATGCCTTTTTTTTGTCTTTTTCCCTGCTTGACAGCCCCTTGACTCCATCATATATGCGATCCTCTATGTTTTTTTGCCTAGTCTAGTTTGTTTAGTCAACCCGTTACTGTCGTCATCTATGGTACTGATTAATGTTTTGAAAATAGCAACTGCAGGTGGATGGGTTAGTGCTGCAAATATTAAAGACTAACCAGTGAACACTACAGAGAGCTTCATATGTTTCTGTTGGTGACCTGAGACCAGCCTACCTCCAACTTCTGCTGGTTGGCAGGAGTGAGAGGAGAATATAGCAGTGTCAACAGTTAGATTCACAAGGAAAAAGCAGTTCATTTTATCCCAAGTCTAAAACCTGGCTTTGGCGGACATCACACTCCTTTGGACTGGCATAGATGCTCATGAAGTCATGTGCACATGAACACAGCTAACATTGAAACCCGCCGAGGGAAGCATTGAGAGTTTCTATGACATAAACATGGTAGAATTTTCGTGGCAGCTAACAAATGTTGGAAAAGACTAGGTTGAATAACCTATGCACACTTGACTTCCACCACATTGTTTGCAGTATCAGAAACTAAGACCTGTTGTGATTCCGTACTCTTCTTTCGGGGATTGGGGGCTTCAAATATCTCCGTGAGGTCTTCAAGGGTTCGATTGTTGGTTTCAACAGCAAAGAAGTAGATAAACACTCCCTGGACGATGTTCCAGCAGGCCAAGATGATGTATATATGCCAGCCAATGACACCGATAGCATTTCCGAATCCAAACTGATTCACCAGCAAGGCAATATTGGTGAAGACAGAGTACATGGCCATGCCCTTGGCCCGAGTTTCGTAGGACAGACATTCGACGGCATACATAGCCTGCAATGGGGTCCAGCCGAAGCTGAAACAAGCGCCAATCAAGAAGATAAACACAATAGAAGCATTGGCTGCTCCTGTTTCCTGTGTCTTTGCGTGCACCCCGGTAGTGGCTGATAGGCTCGCAAAACAGATCTTCATATCCACAAGGTTAGTGAAGAACATTGATAGAAGAAGAACCACGCGGGACGAATATACACACAGTGCAAGCAATAGACGCGCCAATCATCATAGGTCTGCGTCGAATTTTGGGGCCCAAGTAACCTCCCAGATAGGCTAAGCCAGCAGAAAGAATCGTGTTGCCAAGATTGACGTTCAATACTCGTGTTGTATCGGTGATACCAGCTGTGGCTAGAAGTCCGCCAATGTAGTAGGTCGTGATGCCAGCCTGCGCCCACTGACTCATGAAAGATGCGATAGCCACACACAAGAGGCGCCATCTTGCAGCTTTTGTGTTTATCAGACCTCTGAAGTCCCATGCCTTCTTATCTGTCCCTTCGAGGTTGATCGCCTCTTCATATTCTCGGACCTGCAGATGAACATAGGCATTATCCCGAGAGCCCTCTCCATGATATTTGGTAATGACATCCCAGGCTTCCTCCCGGCGCCCATGGCTATAAAGCCAGCGAGGTGATTCGGGGATAAACCAAACAGTTAGGACCACTATGCTGGACGAAATCAACTGGCACCAAATGGGGATGCGCCATGCGAGCGAACTCTCAAACCTCAGGCATCCGCGACAAGCACCAGCAGCGGCAATAGCGCCAATGAAGTACTGGCAATTGTACAGCCCGGTCAAAATGTCACGGTAGGCAGGATGGCTCATCTCGACGACGTAGGCGGGTGCAGCAGAGGAGGCTAAGGAGTATCCCCATCCTAAGTTATGTTGTCAACAGTGCTCTCCAAAAGGGTGAAGTCCAGAGACGTACCAAGGAAGAATCGGCTAGCGAGCAATTGATTCATGTGGTTGGCAGTACCACCAAGAATTGTGCCCAGGATGACAGCGCAGGATCCAGTGAACATGCCACATCGTCGGCCCCAAGTATCCAGGAACACTCCAACAAATGGCAGCGCGGAGACACCTCCAATTGTGTACATACCCTGGATCAAGGAGGCTTTAGAACCGACCAAGCCAGAGCCAAAGGTTTCACGGAATTGCTTAATGGGAAGCAGAGCGCCCATAAGAGAACCATCAAATCCTGAACTAGTTAGTGATAAAATCTTCAGTATCAAGTGACTCTCTCTCGTACCATTTACAGCCGAGCAAAGGTATGCTACAATCAAAAACGAATATAGCTTTCTCATTTGAACGCTCCAGGGGTTCGGAGGGTTGGTCCGCCTGGCTACGTCGAGAGCCAGTGAGCCCTGAACAGTCTCAACCTTGACACCCTCCTTATGCTCCTGGTGCATGGCGTCGATGGCACCTTCTTTCTCGGCTAGTTGGTCTGGATATGTATTCTCCACCATGACGCAGGAAAGGTTGTGTTATCCACGCCAAAAAAATGTAATTCACAAAACAATGAACCATGGGGGAAAAGATGGTTATGGCATGATATTTATCCTAGTAGTTACGCGGCACGTTTTTCTCACTCTCGTCGGCATGAAGTGGCACGTTTGTGAGTTTCTCGGATGTCCTTAGCTGAAATGGATCTGGTTTAAATTCCTTGGAATTTATCTATCCAATCATGAGAGACCGTTCGGCTCGCCGGTGGGGATGCGAGATTCCCCGAAGGGGCGATCGAAACCGATCGCCGCCTGAAAAACCGGGGTAACACGTTCTCTGCCGAAAATGGATCGGCTTTCTCCGCCAACTCCTTGACCAAAACGGTAAAACTCCGCCTTTACTTCCCCAGATTGACCTCGGGACTTTCGAGACCAATATTTCGGACTTCCCCGTGAATTCTACGGGCTTACAGATATGGAGTTGTAGCTATTACAAGTCACAGTCCAATTCCTGATGGTTCTATTTCATGCTTTGACCATCTTTGCCCTTTAATTCTGCAATATTAAGCGGGGAGTAGGCGAGGGACGCTCGCAAACGACTATCCTGCGTGGGCTTCCAAATAGAATGTTGAGGAATTTATCGAATCCAGCCCTCTGTTCACTTCGATTGGGTCGCAGCCCTAGTCGCAAATTGGTAGAGTTGGACTTTTGACCCAGGCAAACGATACCTCAGTGGTGGGTCACTGTCACCTAGCCCTGTAATTTCCATCCCCCTGTTCATCGCCAGGGAAACTAATCATAGCGCTGCCGCTAATGGGCACAATCTTACATTCCCTGAATCTTACCAGGTTCTATGAGCTTGTTACCGGTAGCTGTTTCCCGCTGAAGCTTCTGGCTGTGACTTCACTTCAAGTCCACTTCAAGTCCACGATCAGAAAACTCGAGGTACCTGTGCGGCTGTGGCCATTCAATTTCCCTGGTCACAATCTGACCATCTATCAGCATGCGTGCAGCTAGAACATGTGCTTAGGCTCGGTGACATGATTAATGGTCCCACTTATGGTTTTGGTGGCACCATTGGCTGAAATGGTGACGTTCTCAAAGATGTCTGGGGCGCCAAGGTTCTTACAGGCCACCATTAATATGAATCGTAGCTTGACAGTTTCCTGCTACACGGCCTATTGGCTATAGCAACCCATCTTTCGGGCTAACTCTTTTGAGCGAGTTCTGCGTGTACTCTTTTCCAGTCGTAACTTACGCATCGCACACCGATCGTTGAAAAATTACATCACTCGCCTTTTGTTTAGTATGCAGATTGAGGATGCAGGAAGTAGTCCACAATTGCCTACGAGATTGTAGGCCAGCAGTCATTCAACTGCTATAGCAGCGCTCTGCCCCATTTCCAATAGCCACTGTAATGATGGCGCCATCCACTATGTCCGAATACGTCTCTGTAAAGACTACCTGCGTAAGATGAATTTTTATTCAAGTAGAGTTTGGATTCTTTCTTCTTCTATGATCATTCAATCAACCATGGCGAAGAACAGAACTCTAGATCAGCAGCCATGCGCAGGTTCTCCACTAGAAACGTCGTCAATCACCTCTCGTGACCCTCAGCCTTGTCGTGGAAGTCCATTACATGTGACTGTGGGTGCCTGTCTTTCTCATTTGCCACAAAGTCCACGGTCTTCTATGTTGCACATCTGGAGGAAGGCCACCAGCTCAGACTCGCTATTAAAGTGGCCTCCTAGGGTGCCGGAGATCCGATATATCTCCTGCGTTCCATACCACACTATGTAGTCGTTAGCTAAAACGCTAGGTTGGGCTTCCAATTAGCATACTCTTCGGGGATTGAATTGGTTGACCACTCCATTGATGTACATCTCTCATGGTGGGGTCGCGTGAGACTTTTCCATCGCCTCACTTCGGGTCATTGGTATCACAATGGAGAAGTGAGCTATTCAGAGGAGCTTTGATGAGACCGATTTGGGCAAATAGTCCAGCTTAATAGAAACATCTCGCATGTCCAAGTATACTCAAGCCTAGAGTTAGGCATGAGGTAGAGAATCCACGTTCAGACGATCATTCGGCGTGGACTTCCCGCGCACCCAGCCGAATTATCCTGCACGACCAATTCTCAAAGCGCGTTCAGCACCTACGCAGCTAGGCTTAGTGGGAGTGATTTGTTCAAATTCTTTGGAAACTGCGGGGAAATGGTGGGGAAATCGATGACAGCCGCAAGTCCCAATGATCCCTCCACGGTATTTCCTTACAGTGATTGACTAGGCGTCATTCCACAGGGGTGATCCAATTATCTCCATGTCTCCCTTTTGCCGTCATCTTTTTCAAATCTAATTTACTATAAAATGTTATCATGGCAAACCGACGGGGAGTATCCTCTTACTCCGTGGGCACAAGTGTCGAACACCGTACACAAAATCGTTGAAAACCGGGTATTGAACCCCGGCAAATCTAGAAATCACTCAATGGCGGATGCCATGTGAGTAGGAGAGATACTCTTGTGATGATGTCTTTATTCTGTCAGACTACGCCACGAAGACTACAGTGACAGGGCAACTTTACAAAACAAAACACAGCGAGACCTAACAACTAAGCATGAGCTACAATCCGAGCCAGTCAGGTGAAATCGATTTGCCTCTTCTTTCCAATAACAGAGCTTGCGGCATTTGACTATAGTCTACAAGTCAAGTGCGATCGCTCGGAGCCGCCTTCCGGCGAGCCATTGCAGCCACTTCCGAGCCGGGAGCATTGAAATCCACGAAGCCATGTTTCTGGTATAGCGGTGCGCCCTCCTTGCTGGCATCAACATAGGCTGCAACACCATCCTTATCCGCCAGGTCGCAGCCTCACTGGACAAGCATAGAGCCAGCTCCGCGCCGTTGATAATCAGGGTACGTGCCAAGTGTATCTAGGTCTTTTAGTCGGTTTCAGATGTCAGCCAAATGTTTCGTCCTTTGATTTTAAAAATGGGTCTCATTCATACAATAATGCTTCTCATCACCCATGACGCGTTTCCTCGCCTGCTCCAGTTCTGCAATAAATTCCTCGCATAGCTGGTAAGGCGAGTCCGCATGCCAAATCGGAAAGCGACGACCTCGCTCATCCGGCATGGCCAGGTCCCATTTGCCAAAGGCAACTAGCCGCGGTCGGCCTTGTTTATCTTTTGCTTCGGTGTCAACTACTCGCAGGTACCTGTAGTGGGACTTCTGAATGTCCGCCATGTGCCAATCCCGATGCCATTGGTGCATGCCGGGAGTGTTGGGGAAGATTTGCCTGATCAACGGCTGTGTGAAGGAAGCGAACCATATCTCGGTGATGGCGGGGACGTCTTCGATTGTTGCTGGTTCTAGCACGAGAGAATTGGTTGTTGATCCCATACTCGAATTGGTCGGGTGCGTGTTCAAGGATCTAGGCAAAGGGGATTGACTACACCGTACGGGATTTGCACCCGGGCAGATCTATTTATTTCGTTTGGATAAATGAGGGTGCCTGGTTCTTGGGGAAATAATGGCCCCGGAGTGAGAAGAAGGCGTGCCTAATGGTTGCTAGGGCATTGAGGCGGATTGCAAGGGGTGTCTTGAGAAGCGGGGGCGCATAGTACCCTTAAACCGACGTGCGAACTGATCAGATACATGTAATGGTTGCCTAGATTCATGAGCCCCCCGACGACATGGATGAATTTTCAAAATGCCGCAAGTGATGAGAGGCATAGCCCAGTCGGATGAGGAGTTGGCTTTTGGCAATAACCCCCTGTCTCATCAAATGTTATGCTCGGTACTCCATTATAACGTCCCAGAAAAAGACATACACGCTATGTATAGACTAGACGGGATTTACAGGGCTTGAATGTGCTCATTTATCAAGCAACTCTGTTGGCCGGACGACCACTTTCTACTGTTGCTAGCCTAGGTGTCTCTGACTCCCCCATCATGTGCGTCTGGCTTGACTGGCTGCCGACCTCCCAATCTTGTGTAACCAAAATTTGATCTCGTCGCATCGGGAAAGGGAATGTTGTGTTGCTCTCGAGCTTCACATTGTGGTCCCGCGACTCGGATCGCCCCTGTGTTTGCGACCGCATCTTGTAGCTCCAAGAGTTCGGCTCTTCTACCCCATCGAGCTTGAGCCCGTTCGATCGCATCCAGGACAGGAAGGGGTTTAATTGTCCCCAACAGGCCGTCACAATACTGAGGCACTGAATGAGCACTTCAAAAATAGTGATTTCACACGACTGAAACGTTGGGTCTTTGGTTTTCGTGCCTCTCTTAATAAAGGGGAGCTCGACGATGGCTGCGACGGTCACACTATGGAGGGCAAGTGGATGAGTTTCGCGTTTAAAGGTAGGGGAGAGAGAGCACGGCGTAGAGCTGGGGTACTCACAAGAGCCGAGGCAGGAAGATACCCGCAAAACCCAGGCGTCGCCCCAGGGTTGTTTGGACGCTAGAAATCAGGATCATTGCCTGGGCTACAATCACGAGATCGGTGATGATGTTGGAGATAACGATGAAGTAGCGCCAAGCTACCTGAATAGAGCCCATTGAATTGAATTAGTATTGTTCGAACTCAGAGTGCAGGGAGTAGTAGGGACTAGAGAATACACCACTAACCAGGTTAAAGCACTGGCCATTCTGGAAATCCCAAGTATGAGGCAAAGAGCATTGAAATGCAGTTCCAAAGATTGCAACGACTGCCCAGGCGTATACAATGATCTCAACACCTAGGGCGAGCCATTTATTTTTGGCAGATGGTGTAAGACCCCGGATAAACACGACCAGAGATAACTTTGAGAACGTAAGGCTTAGCAGGTACAGAAAAGACCCCGCGAAAAGGTTCTGAAATTCAGCTCGTTAGCCTTGGTTCTAGAAGGGAAACAAGCACAAGATCAGAAGATGTGTACTTTCATAACCTGTTCCATCTCGGCGCTGGAGACGTCTTTGGAATGCTTTCCATAACCCGACCCAACTGCCAGCGAAACAACTATACTCTGGCCAATTCCAAGGATCAGAGAAGCAATGATCAGGAGATCATCTGTGGTGAGCCTTTTAAAGATTCGAATCTTAGTGACTAATCTGGCAAGGACACTGAAAACGATCGTGACCAAAAGAACCCATGTGGTGACATTGACAGCCGGGTCTTTGGTATCACTTTTGAATCGTGTCCCCATGGAATCGAGATATGTGAAGGGGGTGTGAGTAACTTGGGAGGCAAAAAGAAGGAAAGGCAAGTATTGTAGCATATAACACGAAGAAAACACCCCTTGTGCTTTTAAAAGTATCGCTACGCGATCAAGTGGTTCGCACATTCGATTTCCGGTTCAGAGAAAAGGGTGACCAGCAGGCAAATCCCCTCCCAGAAGTTATCAGTATATTGTGTGTACGAGGGTCTCCGAAGGGGTGTTATAGGTTCATCAATCTCGTGTGACGCTCGTTTCCGTCCCATACCGTCCTGATCTCTATAGGTGTTCAATATGTGTTCAGCCTGTTCTTGTAAAGCCATTTTGCGTGGTCTCTCACTTAGGCGGTATTTACATTGTTTACTATATAACTATTGCCAACTTATTGCACAAGGGTAGGGTAATATCGAAAAACGTTCAACTCCCCCTTCACTCAAAGAATTTGTCCCGAGTTCTGGCCCGGCCCCTCGCATGACTTTAACCCTTGATTGCTTATTCCCCTGCGAGTAGCCATCACCGATATCCGCTCCACACAAAATAACAGTGGCGAAGTGCATGGCGCACTTCCTGGGGGATCTTCCCCGTGTGTGATCAACACGGTGGACATTGTCGCATGGTGTATGATAGGCCTTGGACCTCCTTGAAGCGTCGGGCAGAACGGGCCTGCGATTACATTGGAGCAGGTATCTGCATTAGCATCATCCACTCGCGTATCTCCAATTCTAGTCGATGTAACATACATGCATCTAGTCAAATTGGATACTATCTTCCACCCGGGGTATCTACCTCTCGTACCTGATGGTTTCTGTTTTGCTCTTTTACCGTCGCATCCGTGGCGATATCTCCCGGTGTAATGACAACGAGGATGATATTGTTAACGTGCCCGGTGCAAAGCTGGTATGGGGACCATTCCATTGCCCCGGCATCATTGGTACACTGATCAACGGGTATGCTCATCTACATCATCATCGTCTTTTTCAGCTTCTGGCCAACTACGATGGACCCAACAGTGGAGACAATTAACTGGAGCATTCTGGCCATCGGAGGCAGCGTATTCCTTGCAATTATATACTACTTTGTGCGCGCCCGGCACATCTATAGGGGTCCTGTTGTGGAGGTCTCCTTGTAGGGAGTTTCCACATGGCGCTAATGAGGAAATTTCTTAACCTTTTGGGCTTTTCAAAGGGCATTTAGAGAGGGTAGTCTTAGAGGCGGCTTCAAATTAGCTGATAAAGAGTTCCACCACAGTTGTTGGCAACGCCTGTCCACCGACGGCTTTATCTCGGGCAGCTTTTTGTTTTGGACTATGCAGCCAACTACATCAAAAGATTTTTGATGTGAAAAAAAAACATACAACAGTGAGGATTCGCTGGTGGTCACCCACCCAACTACTAACTCACCGGCGTGTGGCTTAAGTACGGCTGAGCGGACGGGAAGCCCTGTTTTCCACACCCTATGGTCGTATGTGTCATAGAGGCCGCCAAGTGAATTAATGTAGGCCTTGGCTGTGTTAAGCACAACACACAGCATCACCCCCATGCTGGATTTAATACAACCAGGCCACTTCGACATGCTGTAAACCTACATCCTCGTGCACTCAGATGAGTAGTGCGCATGAGGCCGTGGTGATTATAGAGAGGTGTGGCAAAGACGAGTTGATCTATTTCACCGTTCTAACTCAATCAGTACCTTGGGTACTTCATCTGAAAGAGATTGTAGAACACTTGAAATGGTATGAAAAAATACTCTGAATTTCTTCTAAATAATGACAAGGTCCGCGCCTTTTAAGCAATCTGTGCGGACAATGCTGACTAAACATCACATATAGTTTATCTGTCTCGGCATGACGCCATTGAGGCATTTGTTCATGTCTCAGGGTGGCACCACACATCTCGACATCATCTTTACCAGCTGGTGTTGAGCACTCAGAGGCCCCTGTCCCCATGGCCGGGGTGGGTAGGGAGGGAGCTAGGGGCAAGTGGAGACATGGAAATAGGAACGTATAGTGTGGGGGAGACCAACATGATCTAAATGTCTGACAACTGTGCCGTGCTCCTAAACACCTTCCCTGTGTTAGTGCACCCCAGTCAATGATAAATTTTGAAGCTGGATATCAAATGACACAAATTCCATAAAATTATTGACTACTTTTCTTATCCCTTAAGCTTGCCAGACGATGATTAAGAGAGTTAATAGATAAGATAGGTATAAGTGACTGTATTTTTTCAATAGAAAGGTTATTTTGAACCAGTTTATAAACACGTTTAAAGAAGCATATGAGAACCACCACCTGTGAAGATTTTGCGTCAAACTTTAATGTGCGATTGCTTTAGTCGTAGCTTATCTGCGTCTAAATCAAATCACCTAGCTTAAACCCTTCCATGTAATATAAATTGATACAGAACTTCCTTGGCTATGTAAGGGTTAAGAAAATTGAGCATTGAAATATTTATATCACTCGTATTGTTCGTATATAAATGCTCTATAGAAAGTGTATCTAATTTCGAAATTGATCGTTGACTGAGACGCATCAACATAAAGAGGGTGCGTTGGGCGCCTGGCACGGTTACGTGGATATCCTCGAATATCGCCAGCCCATAGGCGTCAGCTGAAATGTCGCCTCTATCACATACCCACCAATGGACGGCCTTAATGATCAGGACTTGATTAAGAATTAGATGCGATGGTACCGCTATCATAACCGCTACTTTAGTTAGAAAAGTGATTATAAGCCGGCTATCTCTATGATGTAGTTAACCCGCATCAGCCTGAAGACTGTTACCAGCCAGTTCTTCAAGTAAAAGAGTGCATTTCAACGAGAATACTAAGTACAGAGAAAGAAGAAGAAAGAAAGAAAGAAAGAAACCTGCGAGACAGGAACCTTTATGGTGTCCTGTCACGATCCAACAATCAAACAATACAAACCTCGTCATGACGGAAACTTCCGGCAGAAATCCTCCCAGATCGTCACAAAGACAGTGATCACCATGATGTTGCAAGTCAAAAGGCGTTGTTCCTCTCTATATGTCACATACGACCATAGGGTGTGGAAAACAGGGCTTCCCGTCCGCTCAGCCGTACTTAAGCCACACGCCGGTGAGTTAGTAGTTGGGTGGGTGACCACCAGCGAATCCTCACTGTTGTATGTTTTTTTTTCACATCAAAAATCTTTTAATCGTTAGGAAATCCCCTCTTGCCGCCCTACTCTTCAGCCCCTTCAGCCCATTCACCTGAATGCCCTGAATGAACACCACTATTTTCCACCCGAATATCCTGCATGCCCCTGAACCGCTGACGTGTCCTTCCCCTCCCATACTCATTTCTTCTTGCAGACATGTTGTTTTGGTCACAACTCTTTCCTTTACTAGCTTCTATTGGTCGACGTATGTCCTCTTGAGAATTAAATTCACTTAATATTAAAGGGGGTCTAGGAGAATCGAACTTGTTATTGAATGAATTTAAATGCTAGTCCTACACCACTACTAACTCACCGGTGTGTGGCTTATTTACGGTCAACAGTTCGGTGTGTCGCCTAGGTGATAGTCGCTTTACGGTCGCGCCGGGGGGGTTAAGGATCACCTTACATAAGTCGCGACTACCGCACTGGCCCTCCTAGCTATTTG